TTTGGAGCAACTATATGTTTGATAGATAGAAATTCTTGTCTATTCTTGAGTATTCTTTAAAATTCTCCAATCTACTATATCAAACACGCTCTTAACCTTCAGATGAGACATTTAAGAGAGAGACGTGTAAGAATAATATTGATTTAATTTGTTAACATAGTCTTGCCTATCTCCTTTCTTATCTTTACCTAGAGTCTATCCATTCCACATCCCTTTATCCCTCCTTATCTTTATTTAAAGCATAGGTAAGTTCTCCAAGCAAATTCTTGGTAGAGTCCCTAGCGATTTGAAGAACCCTCCAAAAGGTACTCTCCATGATCAGTCATTCAAGTTGTTTGATTTTTGGAATTATTTGTCAACAAAAGTTTGATTCTTTTTTCTTCATTCCCTCAAATGTCTGCTACATAATTTTCTTACATAAACTGTACAATGTTTAATGATTTCAGGACAGTAACAACATCAATTCAAACAATGACTAGTAAAGATATGAAGGTTGAAATTCCCTCAGAGTCTGAAGTTATGTCACCATCATCTGCTGGAAAGCTTGCTAGACAAGGAAGTATTTCAAGAAATAATTGCTTATGCTCCCCAACAACTCATGCAGGTTCCTTCCGTTGCAGGTTTCATCGTGCCCCGACCCCGTCCCTCAACCGGACTAAGAGCGTCAACTCAACAGATTTCCAGGATACTCGATCAAAAGCCAATCCGAGTACGGATACTTCAAAGCAAAATAATGCAGTGGAGGCTCAATAATATGAACAATCAAGTTGTTTTTCTGTTGTTTCTGTGATTGATTTATGGGTTTTATGTGAGTTTTATGTGTGATATATAGACCTTCTATTATGCAAATCAGAAGGCCTCTCCTAAGAAGAAAATTGTAGTTTCAACCCATACATAAATTCTGTGTATTGGCTAATTTGAGACCTTCTGGTTTTGCCTTCTTTAATTGCTCAACTTCTGCTAGAAGAATAAAATTAGTGAATAATCAATCATCCAAGCACGAATAGTCATCACAAAAATGATTATCGAATCCCCATACGAAATACGGAGATACAAAAGAACCGAATTTTCTACTAAATCCTTTATTCCCTTGGGATTGTTGAATATTTGACAAAGTAAGGGTTCGGTTCCCATCAATCCTGACCGATTAAATTAATATGTCAGTTCATCTCTCCAAAGGGTTAAAAAGATGCACAGCAACAAAAAGCAAACATGCTTTATGTCTTTTATCAATTAGTTACTGATATGTTTAAATGTGATTAGTTAATATAGCGGAAGTCTCAACCACCAATAGTGTTTTCCAGGCTCAGTATTGAATCCAACAATCAATCACCTCAACAAAGCCAACCAAAAAACCGAACCGAACAATCCCAACTCCGATTGCTTTATGATGCCTACTTAAGACGCACAATAAGGTGGTCATTGCAGCCACGAAGGCAGCCACACAGGCCAAGGAAGAAGGTGAAGAAGGCACAGTGAAGGAAAGCACAAAGTCGGCGCCGATTTCACCAAGAGAGAAGAATAGCAATAACAACACTCAGTCACACAGAAGGGGAGAGGAGGCAGCCATATATAGTTCTCACTAGGTGTATAGTGATGGACCAAGCCCAATAAGGGAGATAAGTGGGTTAAGTGTATTACTAGGTGTGCCGTCAATTATAAGTCGTCCAAGGAGTAAGGAGACGGACCATGAACCGCACTAATTAAATTAGGCTACTTCCAATGGTCCAAATAATTTTAGGGTCAAGCCGTTTCATTGAGGTGTCGACTTTTAGTTTAGTCAATTGGTCAATGTCGACTGATAAAATTATACCGAGTTACATCATTGTCGGAGAGGTCATTTGACGATAATTTGCCCAACAGTTAAAAGTAAAAGCACTCAATCTGGTTTTACCTTTAAAGAGACTGAATTATAATTAATCATAACTAATCCAAATTCACCATTTAAATGATTGTTACAGAGAAGAAATTATTGTCCACAAATTGAGCATGCTGGTACAGAATCATTGCTTAAATATCCCTATAATTATAATTGAGCGACATTAGATCTGTACATCATTTACTTTTAGCTTTTTACTTAAATCTGAATCAATTCTTAAAATGACTCTTGGTTTGTATATAAAATACGGGGAAACCAAACTGATATGCTGACGCACTAATCATTGAAATGTAGTTATAATAATTGAGGAATCAGATTAATGATGATAAGATCTGCAATTTTGAGCATCTTTCAGAAAAATATGATTTGTATAACTTGACAGCATTACTGTCAGTTGCTATGGATTTCAAAATATTTAATCTAAGGGCGCATTATTATTAACATCAAATTATTGTTCTCATAAGATATGAAAGATCTTGATTTTCATAACACTGACAGAATCTCTTGTTATATATGAGAAAGAAATAAACTAAATTTAGTACGGTATAATACAGCATACCACACTTGCCCATGAAAAAATTATTTCTATGGAGTTTTTCATTTTGTATCTCCCAATACTACCTAAACTATACAAAATCTAAAGTTAGGTTGTGAAGTTTTTGATTTTATATAGTTTAGGTAGTATTGGGAGATTCGGTTGTGGATCGACGACCGTTTATGGTGTTATGTTTTGAGTCTTGGTTTGTACTGAATATTCCATTCTCTCTTGAAGGTTCTTGCATATTGACGGACTTGGTTTACCTATGAGCCCCAGATTAGGCTTTATCGAACTATGTGAACAACCTGGTGTTAATTTTCGATTTGGTAGTGTGTTTTCTGGGTTGTTTATTTATGTCTGCGTGTTTTTGGGTAAATTAATATGAACAAAAAATCTTATTAATTGTACTAAACAAGTCCATTGTAAGAATTTTGGTATGACCCGAATTCTTGTTGAGCATTTATTGGAAATACTATTGGCGGACTATTGAGAGTTGGTTGTAGGCTTGAAGATGTCTTGAAATAGTCCAAGATGTACTATGATCCTCATTCCCCTTTTTTGGCAGCTTTTGACTCATTTATCCCAAATATTTCATTATTGATTTTACCTATTGTTATAGGACTTCACTTTGTGTTAAAACTTTTATTTGTATTAATTCTCCTATTCTTGTATTATAAGTATGGGGTGCATTATACATATTTATTTGATCGATCAGAGAGTGATCCAGGGAGATCTAGAGAAGACTTACATGATATAGAGATCGGGTTGAGAATCTTATTGGATCCAGATTCACATAATATACTTACAACTCCTTACTATTGATTATAATGAATTTTTCGCTTCTACCCCTGGTTTCTTCCTGAATTTGGGTTTCCATGTTAAATCTTGTATTCTGTGTGATTCTTTATATCTTGTCATATTTTGTTGGTTTTAATATTCATAACAAGTCGTATAAGTTCTACCACCGGATTATTGCAAATTGGCTTGTTTTAAAATTACAAATTGTATGAGAGCTAATGATCGAAGTTCTTGGGAGGGCCAATTTGGTTTCATATTAGAGCGAGGTTTCATCAACTCGGAACGAAGTTTGATTGTTTTGAGATGGTAAGTATGAAGTTTGATATTCCGTTTTTGGATTGCAATATCATTTTTTGTTATGGCAGATCTTTTGTTTGGATGTTGGAGGAGTAATAATGTAGTGATCGAGTTATATGTCTTGCAAGGTTCAACGATCCTGTTTGATGCAGCTGCCACTAAATTGAAGATTAGACCTCAAGAGAGGTTCAATGAGGCTAATTTGGTTTTTTATTGTTTGATAAGCGTTGATCAAATGTAGTTAGTTGTGATCGAGTTGCTCGTGATTCGAGCAAAATTTAAACATGCCACTAGCTCGAGTGGAGTTAGTTTTGATGTTGTTGTTTGTGATTTAAACAAATCTGATACCTAAGTCCTACAAATGAGCAGTATTTGGATTCTTACTCAGTTGGAGTTAGTAGTAAATTTGATGATTTTGTTGTTTGTGATGCGAGTAAGTTTGGTGTCCAAAGTAATTCCATGGTAAGCAGTGCTTGGATTTAGTTCACGGTTGCTAAGTTTGCCTAGTTGGGCTCTGTGGAAGAGGTTGAGTAATTTGGTCAAGTATTTTGTTGAAGAATTAAGTGGAGGTTTGTTAGAATTTTGGTGTAACCAGATTCTTGTTGAGTATTTGATTGGAAATACTGTTGGATGACTATTGAGAGTTGGTTGTAGACATGAAGGTATCTTGAAGGAGTCCAAGATGGATTATGATCATTTTTTTTGGGTAGTTTTTGATTCATATTTATCCCAAAATATTCCATTATTGATTTTACCTATTGTAATAAGACTTCACATTGTGTTATACTCTTATTTGTATTAGATCTCCTAGTATTTTAGAGATTCTTGTATTACAAATATTTGGTGTATTACACACATTTATTTAATCAACTTAGAGAGTGATATAGGGGGATCTACAAAAAGACCTACATGATAGAGAGATTAGGTTGAGAGTCTTGTGGGATCCAGATTCGTGTAATATACTTGTAATTCCTTACTATTAATTATAGTGAATTGTCCGCTTCTGCCCATGATTTTTTCTCGAATTTGGGTTTCCACGTTAAATTTTGTGTTCTTGTGTGATTCTTTTCATCTGTCATATTTTCTCGGCTTTAATATTCATAATAAGTGGTATAAATTCTATTATTGAGTTATTGCAAATTTGCTTGTTCTAAAACTACATCCATATATTGTTGAAATTCATGAAGTTGAAACTCAATTCTAGAGAAAGGAAGTAATAGATACATGTAAACAGAACGCCATTTGCTCTCCACATTTTAGTTTTACAAGTGCTCCATTTCAGTCTGCACAAAGAGAGAATTTCCCACTTGTCAAAATTTTCTATTTCCTTACCTTATTAACGCAGGTTACACCAAAAACTCACAGTGATTTTGTCTTTCCTAAAGATTACAAAGATTTCTGCTCGAATTAGGATAATGAAAGAAAGTAATAAAAGCGACAATTTAGTTTATCTGGACCACCCCAACCAGAAATTTAATAAAATTTCTATCAATTCTTTTCACTTTCATTTCTGTTGATGGACCACAGCTTACTGAACATACTTTTAGATCTGTTGGGTTTGGAAGATTTTTCCATCACTTTGGAAATTTTTTTGTGTAAGTCATCATCTTCAGCCAGCCTCATATTAAGGCTCGAAAGGTCCGACTTTGGTGATTTGAGCCCGGCCATACTCCATTTGTCTTCTGGTGCCACGGATACGTTGCTTCTAAAAGAAGCTTTAATCTTTGATGGGTTATTATGAGCAGAAAAAAGCTCTGAGATATTGCTCGGAAGCTCAATCAGTTGACCGCCAGCCATTGCAGCACGTGCTTGCTCGAAGAAGAGAACTTGCACCACCACTCTTAGTGGGAGCATCTCATTCTGTGCAGCATGCATACAAGCTTCCATGGATAACTTTTTGCAGTCTAATATTCGGCACAGGCGTTTCCTTTCACTCTTATTGAGTTCTGGATGTCCCTACAGAGACAATCAAACAAATATATGCATATCAGTTCCAAAATTTCTATTCTTTAATTGTTTGATGGAATTGTTTTTTGAAATCAATTACTCGGAAAAGGAAAACAGAAGAAGCTATGTATAGTCCATGACAGATTTCTATAAGACAAAGTAAGAATGTCATTGTATACTAGAACTCTTCTCATATGTTTCTTAGAGGGGTTAGACAATACGTAACTCAACAATATCAAGAAACGATTTTACGGTCAAATTCTGCATACCAAACATGCACTTCATGTAAAATATTTAGGCATTAATAATAATTAAGACCTACAACAATATAACATCACGACATAGACTGTTTCAAGACAAATCGGGAGATAGAAGAATGTGTATTTTGGGATATAGATAATGCTACTTGTACATAAGAAGTTACATAATGATTTATATACACATGATGTGGAAACATGATTGGATTAAAATTTCTTCAATTAAAATAAAAAATTCACCACTCTCTTTCTGACATATACTTAGAGGGCACATTATGTAAATTATTATGTACATTTAGCACAACCGTTTGGAACATATACTCCACACAAGTCTCTTTTATCGGCGATTATGGAATTAGATGACGATGCAAGAAAGAAATGTGTTCATAGTAATTTTACCTTTAGATAGATGTCAATAGCTTTGTAGAGGTCATCATGGTCGAGCCTTGCGAATTCTGGAACTGCTTCTGCAATGGCAATGAACTTCGACAAAGGTAAATTTTTGTCGCGTGCTATCTCTTGGAGAAATCCATCCACAAGCTTTGCTATCTTCAGTTTGGAACTATGTGATGCAGAAGATGATCTCCTGCTTTCTTGAAACTCCAGTTCAACATTTTCCGCTGAACGAGACCTTCTCCTTTCAAAGTCTCCTTTGCATCTCGGAGGACTTGTTGGGGGACTTTGCCCTTGTAACATAAATTGCTCGAATATGGTCATAACAAGATCTACATCATAAATAATGCCATTTGTGTTCGATAAAGATGGGATTAACAAATCTCCAACCGTGGCTTCTTCCAATTGAACTGCAACCCTTCTTGCCAATTCCATCTTTGAAGAGGATGATGCTTTTAGTATATTGGCTGCCTTCAACAATTTCGAAAGAAAACTGCACGAAGCTGAGCCTTTCTCTGGTGGCAGTAAACTAACAATCGACTCCAACAACAGCCGGTGTTTTGAAGTCACCTCCCCCTTGGAGCCCAACTCGTGATCAGATTCTGCTTGTTTCTCAATATGCAAGTACTTTGATATGTTCGGTAGCCAACGTGATGCATAAATTCGCAACGCCTCTCCAATGAGATTCGAGGGGACCTTCCCACCTGATTTCAGGGCAATCACTGTTCTCCAATAAAGATCTATCCTCAATTCAGCTAAATCTTCTGCCCACCAGCCTTTACTTGTATTTTTATCCCTCTGGCTCTCTGATCCATTCCAGGACACATCATCTCTACATCTTCTCGAATAACTATGCGATAAACTCACCTTCGAGGGATGGGATGAAACTTTTGAAGCAATGGCTTCAATACATCGACTTGTTATCCCAAGATCCTCAGACCACAATGGGGAAGATTTGGTACTTTGTAAAGTTACAATAGAGTCCCTCCATCCATGAAGTATGCAAGAATTGAAGAAAACTTCAATCTTGTAAATTAAATTACCCTTCTCAACATCCTCTGTCATTTGAAGGTATTCTGCAGCACATCGAACCAATACGATGTTGTAGGCACTGAGAGTAATAATGATTCCATAGCAGAATTTCGCACATAGCTCAAATGCTTCCACTCCACCAGGAAAATCAGGGAGTTGGACTATTTGGTTCTGTGAGGATTCAGGGCTTCCTGAACATAGTCTCTGCAGGCACAGGCACTTGGACAGCAGGGGAAACTGTATTGTAAATTAAACTCAACTATCAGTCCGTGTTTGATACACACGACTGTAAAGTATTTAAAAAAGAACTAGCTTATTTTACTTCCTTATCAATAGATTACGATCCAAGAATCATCATTTACATGAATTAAATAACTTTGTTTCATAAATTTTAACTTATATATTCAGAAATGTACAAACATTTTGCGAAAACTCACCTTGTGAAGTAAATATCTGCTTCCCTTCACTTGAATTATAAGATCACTGGAAACCTCAGATGACACAGAACTGCATCAAATACAGGAAATCTTAATTTTTCGATTTCAGAAATACCCACACAAAATATGAACATCGAAATTCCCAGATTGAAGAAAAATAACTAAACTTTTCTTGAATCAACAAATGCCATTTTTTTATTACAAAATCAAGAAATAGCTCAAAAGAACAAGAAATGAAAGTACCTCACAGCGTCGGTAGTATAGAAAGTATCAGGGCGAGATCCGAGTTTCATGAACTTCATTTCTGAGTCTTGTTTATGCTATTAAACCTAAGAATTTACAACAAGGAATGCACGCCCGTTGGAGAGTGAGACAAAAAACCAACTTCAAACTGTTGAAACCTTCACTTTTAAGACACCACTACCTTAGTTCCACCTCCAGCTGCCAGCAATAGATATTGTCGGAACCACTAACAAATTCCTGTATTTATTTTCCCCAAGATTGGCAGAAAGAAAAAAAATAAAGGAATCCCACAACTAGAACTTGAAGAAACTTTAAGCTGAAGAAGAGAAAAAAAGTGCTGATTTCTCAAGAAATTCTAGAAAATTACTTGAGGGTTTTTGTTACTTCAGTAAAATTTTTATCCAAAGCAAACCAAAGAAATGAAATATTATGCATTAACAGTCTGTATCGTGCTATCATATGACACCCTTCAGGGAGAGGAGAAAAAGTATGTAGTGCTCAAAAGAGGAATGAGAGAATAAAATATGACGACAAGCTGAAGATTTTAAGGTTGTTTTGTACTCACAAAAACTAACGGCCAATCATTCCCTCGTGACTGGTTTTTCCTTTTTCAACTTCAGAGGCAATACTGAAATGTATAATAAGCGAGATTTTGACTTATTTTCTTTTTCTTTTTAAACTTAAATTTGTTCATAGCCATCACTGAAGCCTGCAGGCAATGAGAGAAAGTCGATGTCCATGTGCTTATGCTTCCCCTACTTGCATTCCTCTCTCTCATTACTGCCACAGCTATTTTACAAGGACCATTCTTCACCTTGCAAGATTATTTTGGTCAAACACTAATTTATATAAGCAAGATTGCATGTCTCTAGCTATATGATTAGTATTTTGAGACTAAACATATTTTTATTTTGCTAATATATGTATGATAACAAAATTGAAAAGTAGGATGCTGAAAAGAGGAAAAGGATGTGTGTATTAAAGTGTTATTGAATACTGGCCTCAAGTTCATGATGTGTATATATGTATGTGTCTCTGGAAATTTCCCCAATTTTTTTAACAATATAACCCCATTATTTTTCTCCATGAGTTAATGTATGAGGGGCCATGCAAATTCAATAAATTTGGAATGTAATCGTGGTTTGCTAGTTTGGTGTAGACAAAATGGGAGAAGTAGATGAGTTTCTAGTACTCTCAATTAAGTAAATAAATTTATTTTTTCAAGAAATTAGAAATATATGTTGTCTCTGAACATTTATTATTATTATTTTAATTTTTTTTTTTTTGGCTTTTTCTTAGAGATTAAACTTTTTTAACTGACAAAATTTCTTTCATCAACAAGACTCCTCACATGCTGGCCGTTGCTCAGAATTTATTTTTTTCTTCAAAACTTGATATATATAATTTTTATAAATGAGCGATGACAAGACTTCTATCTCAATATAATTTTATGCACTAGTAACATCTTAAACTTAATCAAGTTGTTGGATTTATTTATGTAAATTTTGTCTTGTATGCTACGACGATATGCCCATGTTGGGTTTAAGTAAAATTCAAATTTTCAGTAAATGTTGAAGAAATGTGTTGTTGAAAAATGTTAATCCAATGAAATGTGTAGTTAAAATTTATTTTTCTTGACTTATATTTTAATCCAAATTTTTAGATGAACCAAACATGGGCTATATAAATTCGTTCTAGAAAATTTATAGTAATGTTATTAGATGGTTGTGATTAATCTCAAAATATTGTACTTCAAGATAATTTATGTTGTTAGCTAGGCTAGAGTTACTGCAATTTTTCAGAATAAATGCCTCTTTTCTTATTTTTGTTAATTGTATAGTATAAATCTGAAAACAAAAAGTTATTTGTTGTGGCCTTATTTCTTTTGATAGTTATCTACTTAATCATTTATGTCTTAAAGGAGTCAATCGTTAGCTGGCTTATCATCACATCTTTTTTGCTTTTCATTACAAGATAATCCTTCAATTAATTATTTTATTTTACCTTTTTTATCTGCATATTTATTCTGTAAAACAAGTGGAATTAGCCCACTGATTATTCTGTCCGAATATTTTGTTGGAAAGTTGAACTTTTTTTTTTTGGGTTGGAGGAGCTCAGTTATTGTTACAATCGCCCAGTTAAAAGCTTAAGTTAAGTTTCAAATTTTCAACAAAAGCATAATACATGGAATTTTCTTAATTATTGAGTACAAGATTTCATTTAAAACGTCTTGTCTTTCACTAAGAGTTTAACCTTTTAAATGAGATGAATAATACATCGTAGTGAAACAAAGGGCCTTAGTTCAAATTTGAAAAATTATGAACTTCCAATCTTTGAACAAAATATATAAATACGGACTGCACATAAATGGACATGTTGAAGACCATGTGCAAGTGCAAGTGATAGTCCCTCCTGAAGAGCAAGGTGTTGAGAAAATTTGTCGTCGAAGTAGATAACACGCCTCCAATGATAATTCAAGAGGAACTCCAAATTATATGTAACAACAATAAAAAAAAAATAGAAGGTTAAGAAGAAAAGAAGAAGACTTAAATCTCAAAGAATGCTGTCCTAAAAACTATATTTGCGCTCTCTCGATAATGAGAATGCTTAAGGACCAACACACAAATAGCTTTAGCGGATTTCAAGTC